AATAGGTAAACTACGAATATTCCAATTAAAAAAACGTGTGGACGGAGAATAAGCTTTTCTCTTTCCTCTCTAAGCTTAAAGCATATAAATAGCTTCTCACCTCCAGATTATTTGTAATCAGAACAACACCAAATCAAGCTCTCAACTTCTTCGTGAAAGCTTTAACTTTTTTTCCGCAATCTCATCACTTCCGAGAAACACAAAACCCTCATAGATTCATTCATTGATTAATTAATACTAATTAATTCGAATATATTCCACATTTGTAAAAATGGCTCTAGCTAAAGAGATAATGGGTTGTCGTCTGATCATCGAGAGATCATCATCACTCGCTTCGTCTCCGTTTCAATCTCGTCTCTCAATCAAGAAGAGGACACAAAGAACGCAGTTCTCGATCAACCCTTTTGACCCGAGACCGATGAAAGCAGCTATCTTCGGCGGCGTCGTGGCGGCCATCAGCGAGGATTTGGTTAAAACGCTGCGTATTAGCACTGTCGGTAGAAATCAAGAGGAGGAGGAAGAGGAGAAAGCGGTGAAGTTTAAGGTGAGAGCTGTTGCGACGGTAAGGAACAAGAACAAGGAAGATTTTAAAGAAACTTTGGTTAAGCATTTGGATGCTTTTACTGATAAAATTGGTCGAAACGTCGTCTTGGAGCTTATTAGCACCCAAGTTGATCCAAGTAAGTAATGACTCACAAATACAAATTTTATATTTCGAAATAGTATGTTTTAAAATGGGTCTTTCTCAAATCCTGGTTTTCCGGTCAAAGTTTTGATTTTTTTTTGTTTCCCACAAAATTTTTTTTTTTTTGCTAATTAACAATATAAATTCTCAAAACAGAAACGAATAAGCCGAAGAAGAGTAAAGCGGCGGTATTGAAAGACTGGTCAAAGAAATCGAATTCAAAGGCGGAGAGAGTTCATTACACGGCGGAGTTCACGGTGGATTCCGCCTTTGGTTCGCCGGGAGCCATCACGGTGACAAATAAGCACCAAAAAGAGTTCTTCCTTGAGAGTATCACCATAGAAGGTTTCGCATGTGGCCCTGTTCACTTCCCCTGCAACTCATGGGTCCAATCACAAAAAGATCATCCATCCAAACGAGTTTTCTTCACTAATCAGGTAATTATCCAGCTGTTAAATCAAAACCATCACCAAATCCCATTAAATATCATTATCATATAGTAATGACGTGGTGGGTCCAAAAATTGTCTTAGCTAACTACCGTGACGTTCAACTACATATTTTGGATTGAAAAATTAAATGTCTCGTTTACAAAATTTCGCAGCCTTATTTGCCGAACGAGACACCGTCCGGTCTAAGAACATTAAGGGAAAAAGAGTTGGAGAATCTAAGAGGAGATGGTAAAGGAGAAAGGAAATTATCAGACAGAATCTACGATTTTGATGTCTACAACGACATAGGAAATCCCGACATATCTAGGGAACTAGCCCGTCCAACATTTGGCGGTCGCAAGTTTCCTTACCCTAGACGCTGTCGAACCGGCCGGTCTTCAACAGATACCGATCTAATGTCCGAGAGACGAGTAGAGAAACCATTACCGATGTACGTGCCACGAGATGAGCGGTTCGAGGAGTCTAAGCAGGATACTTTTGCTGCGTGTAGGCTTAAGGCCGTTTTACATAACCTTATACCTTCGCTAAAAGCTAGTATCTTGGCTGAGGACTTTGCTAACTTCGGTGAGATTGATAGTCTTTACAAAGAAGGCTTGCTTCTCAAGTTAGGGATTCAAGATGATATGTTCAAAAAGTTCCCTTTGCCTAAGATCGTCACTACCCTCCAAAAATCTAGCGAAGGGTTACTCAGATACGATACTCCCAAAATAGTTTCAAGTAAGCACATTAAATTTACTTCTAATCTCATTTATTAAATCTTTTTAACTATGTCGTTAATTAATTCGTTTTTCTTTATGATATTTTGAGGTTCATGAGTTAACTAACACATGTGCCAACACATACTCACATGCCGTCTAATTACGAACCAATCCTTAAAATAAATCATTTTTTTTTGCTATAGTTGTGTACTTGGAACCAACAGTGAAACATCCATTTAATAAAGAAACATGCTTCACGTGCTCAATTCATTTGTTTATTAGTTGTGCTCACCCAAAAGTTATATTTCGGTGGTGGTAGTTGTATTCGTTTGCGAATATATAGTTACTTAAATTAAAAGCGCGATTTTGTTTTCTATTAGTTCTCTAAACTACTTAGTTAGATCTTCTTATAACATAGTTTAACTTATCTGATGGCTCATTTTACCTTTAATACTAATGCAGAGGATAAATATGCATGGCTTCGTGATGACGAGTTCGCACGCCAAGCCATAGCTGGGATCAACCCGGTCAACATAGAACGAGTCACCACTTATCCACCGGTTAGCAATCTTGACCCCGAGATCTACGGTTCACATCTTCACTCCGCTCTCACCGAAGACCACATCATTGGTCACCTTGACGGCTTGTCCGTACAACAAGTACGAATCTATATATGATCTCATTAACTTACACATATATCCAAAAGAAAACAATCTTGATTACACTATTAATTAACCTTTTCTTTAACTAATCTTTCCAGGCGATAGACGCGAACCGATTGTTTATGGTGGACTACCATGACATATACTTACCATTTCTAGACAAAATCAACGCTCTAGATGGACGCAAAGCTTACGCGACTCGAACCATATTCTTCTTGACTCGTCTCGGTACACTCAAGCCTATAGCCATTGAGCTAAGCCTCCCTCCTCAACCAAGCTCAAACCGAAAGTCCAAACGCGTAGTTACACCTCCTGTAGATGCAACCTCCAATTGGATCTGGCAGCTCGCCAAAGCCCACGTTGGATCCAACGATGCTGGCGTCCATCAGCTTGTGAACCACTGGTTACGCACTCATGCGTGTTTAGAGCCGTTTATATTAGCTGCTCACAGACAACTGAGCGCGCTGCATCCCATATACAAATTACTTGATCCTCATATGAGATACACTTTGGAGATCAATGCCGTGGCAAGACAAACTTTGATTAGTGCGGATGGTGTGATTGAGTCTTGCTTCACAGCTGGTCAATATGGTTTGGAGATTAGTGCCGCTGCATATAAGAATCGATGGCGGTTTGATATGGAAGGTCTCCCCGCTGATCTCATCCGAAGGTAAACAAATGTCTTATTAATCCGGAGTTTTTAGTTTTTTTAAATAATTTTTAAGTGTTAAACTAAATCTAATGCATGCTCTTAATGATATATCCCCCCAATATATGGCCCAAAATAGTATGTGTAGGAGAGTAAAAGCTTTAACACTTTACAATACTAATGTAGAGAGCGTAGTGATAGATATATGATAGTACTGACTACTGACCAGTGAGATATTTATTTGTCTGGTTAAATTGGTATTTTTTTTGGTTCTTGTAATAATTATTTTATAGAATCTAATTATTTTATTTATAATTTTTTTTTTTTTGTTTTTCAGGGGAATGGCTGTTCCGGACACAACACAACCACATGGTTTAAAATTACTTGTCGAAGATTACCCATACGCCAACGATGGTCTCTTATTGTGGTCCGCAATCCAAACCTGGGTCCGAACCTACGTGGAGCGTTATTACTCAAACCCGAACCTAATCCGAACCGACACAGAGCTCCAAGCCTGGTACTCCGAGTCAATCAACGTTGGTCACGCCGACCACCGCGACGCCGATTGGTGGCCGGAGCTTTCCACCGTCGATGACCTTGTCTCCGTCATCACCACCATAATCTGGCTCGCCTCCGCACAACATGCTGCTCTCAATTTCGGACAGTATCCTTACGGCGGTTACGTCCCCAACCGGCCGCCGTTGATGCGGCGGTTGATTCCCGACGAGTCGGATCCCGAGTTCGCGAGTTTTCTTGAAGATCCGCAAAAGTATTTCTTCTCTTCGATGCCGAGTTTGTTGCAGACGACGAAGTTTATGGCGGTGGTTGATACGTTGTCGACGCATTCGCCGGACGAGGAGTATATCGGGGAGAGACAGCAGCCGTCGATTTGGACCGGTGACGCAGAGATCGTCGATGCGTTTTATGGATTCTCGGCGGAGATCGGACGGATAGAAAAGGAGATTGAGAGAAGGAATCGTGATCCTAGCCGTAGGAATCGGTGTGGGGCCGGAGTTTTGCCGTACGAGTTAATGGCTCCGAGTTCCGAACCGGGTGTTACGTGTAGAGGCGTCCCTAATAGCGTTTCAATTTAGAGAAAAATAAAATTTAAATATTTAAGAACCTATGAGTAAATAAATATAATTTTGAAGCAAACAAAATTTGTTATGTAATTTAGAGTAATTAATTAGTTTTTTTTTTTAATTCTTTTTCAAATATTGTAAAATGAGTATCTCTCCCTCCAAGGATTGAGAGAACTCGAGTGTGTGAAAATTTGTGGTGTAGACTGTAGACGAGGACATAAATAATTAAATAAATAAAAAACTAAGAAGTAATTGTTTTTTTGTTTTGTTTTAAACAATGGTTTTACTGATCTCATGAAAATTGGATAATGAACGGGCTGCTGATTCCGTTTCTTACATCACTTTTTGCAGAATCGTCACTTCAACGATGCATCACAGTTCTCTGTATTGGTTGAGTTTTTTATTAGTGACATATAAACTGTTAGGTATTGAAGTCTCCATAGAAATAGACTTATTACTCCACCAAAATGGCTGCTTCTCTCTGTTCTTGTTTGTCAATCAGGACCATGTAGAAAAATTAGAGAAGACGAAAACAACCACACACAAGAATTTGTTCAACACGTTTTTGAGTGGGGTTTGGTGAGATTAACAAGTCTTTCTTTCTTCATGGCCAAGGTATCTAATCTAAAAATTGGCTTCATCTGTTTTGTCTGAAAATGGAACATGCTTGCTTGCGTATGTACCCAGATTCTAAAACATTGACTAGGAACATAAGCTTACACCACTGAAATTCTTTGTTGGTGAACTACGTACAGTCTATTTAGGATATGATGTTAAGTAAATATCCAAGTATTACTGTCCCTTTTGAACACGCATACAATTCAGACTTATACATCTGTGGTTACAAAAATTCAAAAATTGACTGCTCAAATAATATCTATGTAGCTCACTTTTTAAGCTACGTTTCTATCACAACATATGTAGAATTTCCTGGATTCCTATAGTATTTTCATTTACCTAACACAACCATTTTTTTCTTCTTCTAGTTCCCCTGTATACTATATCGTTTCCTAATATCTATATTTGTAGAAAAGTTAAAATAATTTAATCTTGCGATTAATTACTCTGCTGGGGAGTATAAACTGGTTCCTAGACTCTTGTACAGTGTAGTGTCTGAATATACGGCGCGAGACCTCATTGGCTTGTGTTTACGTCTCTTCCTTCGACCTGCTCGATGTCGTGGGCAGACATTTGCCTCTTTCTCTGTTTCCTCCTTTACGACTCTGACATCATCCTTACATTTGATGTCATCAACTTCATTGGCACCTGTTACCGGAACAATGTACACAAACGGTCCGTTTTGGATGTCTTTGAGGTCTAGAATTGGCTCAAGGGTCTTGACCACTGTGGTCATAGTGGGTCGTGACTTAGGGTTTTGGCTCAGGCACTGGTAAGCCAAAGCAGCTGCTTTTTTTATGCCTTCAAAAGAGTATCTCCCTTCGAGACTCGGGTCTATAATCTTTTCAATCTTGTTGGCATCCTTTAACATGGGTCTCGCCCATTCCACTAGGTTCCTCGCTCTTTGTGACCTATACTTCTCCACTGCCTTTCTAGCTGTTAGCATCTCTAAAAGCACCACCCCAAAACTGAAAACGTCGCTCATAGTCGTCAAATGACCTGAAATACACCAAGAAACATGTAAGCTATGAAAGTAATGGGACAAGTAGCCTTATTGTTATGTTCTTTAACCTGCTGAGATGTATTCTGGAGCTGCATAGCCTTCTGTGCCCATTACACTTTTTGTAAAGTTTGAGTCTTGTGCCTCTGATCCATCTGTGGCTAAGCCAAAATCTGAAAGCTTAGAGCTGTAGTCCTGAAAGTTTCAGATATGAGATTTAAGTTATTTGACATGATAATATGTAAATTGAAATGCAAAATAAGAAGAGAAGCTTTCGAGTTACCGAGCTCAAGAGGATGTTGGAAGGCTTAAAATCTCTGTAAATGACAGGTTTCTCTTCTTTGTGAAGGAACTCGAGGCCTTTCGCAGCACCAAGCAGAATCTTCACTCTTGTTAACCAAGGCAAGGCTCCACCATACTCTGCATTGTACCAAACAGTACTCATACTATTAGTAATCTGCATCTCTCTCTATGACAATTATTTTCTGATTTTTTGGTATGATTTTGGTCTTTTAACCTACTCACGTTGAAATAGATGTTCCTCCAGATTGCCTCGTTCCATATATTCGTAAACGAGAAGCCTGTGATCATCCTCACAGCAGTATCCTATCAAGTTCACAAGATGTGGATGCTTCAACTGTCCAAGGATTACAACTTCAGCCTGCATAATGTCAAAGAAACGTTTTTTATTGATTTATTATGATATCATTCTCATATGATCTGAAAGATGATACTTGAAATGTGATTAATCAATATGCAGATTGAAAAAAAAAATCATTACCAGCCACTCTCTATGGCCTTGTCCACCTTCTCGTTTTAAGGCCTTGACCGCAACAGGCTGAGCTTTCAAACCAGTCTTGAGGCTATCATCAAGAAACCCTTTATAGACTTCCCCAAATCCTCCTTCGCCGAGGTAATTATACTTCGAGAAGCCTTGTGTGATCGTTTTGAGCTCTTCATAGGTGAAGATGTGAATGTCTATGAGAAAAGAGTTTGAGAAGTCGTTGAGTGAGATGGTTGAATTGCTGAAATCAGACAAGTAAACTCTGCTTCGAACAGAGGTTTGTCTGGAGAGCATAAGAAGTCTTTCCTTTGATGGGTTTGTTGTAGTCTTCTGGTTTGTGTTGTTGATGCAGCTTATGGGAAGACATATATTCTTCCAAGAAAATCTCATTGCTTTCATCTGAAAGAGTCTCTCTCTCTGTATCTTTCACAAATTTTTTTTTGTCTCTTTAATGGTTTTCTTTTTCTGAATATATAGGAGATGATGAAACTTCTTTGAAAAGGGCTAGTGAGAAATTGGAGAGAAAGAGAGAGAGATTGGTGAAGACTCCAAATAGTAAGTCTTGTGGTCTTAAAAAGCCATCCAATGTGAAGGAGGCATTAGCCACTAAGCATAATCAAATGTGAATAAAATATGAAAATGAGTAAAAAAATTCTTAAACTTAACACTCTTTTTTTCCAATTTCAACCTTTAAATTTGAAACAAAAATTCTATTCATGAAGTTGAAAAATATCCTGAACTACCAAAAATAAACTTTATGTTTTTTTATTATTCTAATTTTCACTTTCCTTTATTTACTTACTATTTTTGTTCATTCCCATTTAATGTTGTGTGGGTTTGTTATATGAATAATTTCACATTAATTTCTGATAACATATGTAGCTTAGCTATGTGTTATAATAATGTGCAAGAGACATTTTCAGAGGCAGTTTTGGATCTATTAGGAAACTCTTTGACTATCTCAAGCCATCTCATTCTTTTTTGCTTATTGGCTCTACTATCATACACTTGTAAGTTGTTAATGAAATTGTTATTCATTTTCATCTAGAAGAAGGTTACTTCTGCTAAATAGATTATGTTAGTTGTTCATTAATAATAATAAGTAGGAATGTAATCCAATACCTTTGGCTTTGGCCACACCATTGACTTGAAACAATGGTATCCTCTGATTTCTCCGCTAGGCTGAGTTGTTAAAAGCAAATAAAATATGTTTTATATTTTAAAAAGTCGGTCAATTGTATTTTACTTTATACTAAGCGATTTTTTTGGTTGCTAAAAACCTACCATTGCCAATTTGCGCTTCATAAAGAGAATTAGAATGTCGACAAAAAAAGAATTAGAAGAATTTTTTCACGTATCATTTATAAATGACGAAATTTATAGAAATCTCATCAGATCATATTGATCTGTAATTTCTGTGTTCATGACTAAAGCTGATGATGTAAATGTAGAATTCCACTAAATATGCTCGTGTCGTGTCATACTCAATCACAAAATATGGTTGCATGCGCAAGAAAATTCTGTTCAAAATTTTGTTTTGTATTTTATTTTTGAATCAAATCTAGATTGGTTATGCTACGACGTGGTGGCCGTATGAGATACTGCACAATACTTTTCCCAATAAATAGTGGTTAATACGAAGCACTTTTCGTTAAGGTCAATTTGCTCATTATCAATTAATTTATTTTCAACATTTTAAAATATTCTGAGAGCGACAGAGCAACAACTTTATTGCCAATTGTTTTGAAAATTTCGTATATTATTTTTAATATATATAGTAACACGCACGCACCTAGTCTCTCTTTTTTTATTTACGCGAAACTGATAATTCCTAGTGATCAAAAAGCCATAAAGTTGGCTCAAATGAATATGTGAACTCTCCTTAAAAGGGGAGAAAAAAAGATGTGAACTACTAACAGTCCAGTGACACATTAAGCACGTGACGTAGATGTTCTTCAAATTCCACAAATCTTATTTATTCGTTTAGCCAGTTAAATTTTTAAATTTTTGTTAAAACAGTCAGGTAAAACTTTATATCATATTATCATTAGATGCACTCAGATATTTATCAATCAGTTGCTTCTAGAGAAGTAGCATACGTAAACTATGTTATTTATATCATATTATCATGATCAAAAAAATTATTTTTCTTGTTTAAACAGTGATGTAGATGGTATATATGATTTCAAAAATATAATTGAATTTGTACCAAACTGAACTAACTTTGTTGGTTTAGCTAATTTGGCCTGGAATTTCAAATGGCAATAGACTTAAATTTAATACAGAACGATATATGGAAATTTATAAGAATAATGTGAATGAGACCAATGCATTCTAATTAAATCAGACCGGCAAGTAATAATAGGAAGTAATGAAATTGACGATATGGATGAAAATATTCTTATTTCCTCAAGTATGAAACATTTTATAAATTGGCAGTGAAATATTGAATTTGGATGTAAAAACTTTTGACTTCAATCTTTTCTTCTTCACATACGAAAAAGACCAGATGATATGTGTGTAAGATTTAAAAACGAAAAAGGGAAAAATGTAATCATGATTTCAGGAGTTTTTTCAATATATAAAAGAGAATTTTTGGATCCCAATTTTGAGTATATTTGAAAAAGAGGAACATCAAATTATTAAAATTGACGTTCTATGTGGCAGCCGCGGAGTGTGTCATCAACTGGAGGTTGCTTTTGACCTTGGTCCATTTTAAATTTTTATTTTATGAACTACCTTGGTGCATTTAACATCGATATTTTATTTGAGCATCAGTCACGTGTATTTATGTTGTTGTTTTGAATACATATAACTGTAAAGAAATTCAAGTCATTAACTTCATTTCTGATTTGAATTCAGGCGGCCATAAAAATTATGTTTTTTAACTTCAACATATTACCTCTGTGCATACACACATACAAGCTAAGTGCCGAAACAATCTTGTAAGGCGTCATAGACCTTTTCAAAGACACCTTAAATCGAATTATTTGGAATTTTGTATTATAGAATATTAAACAAAATAGTTTATAACAGACCGCATTTGTAAACACTAAAAGAATAAACTAGTTGTTTTTTAAGAAGAATTTAAAAAGCTTTAACCAAAAAAAAAGAAGAACATAAAAAATTAGAGTAGTTTTGTTTAGGTTTCTTTAAGAGCATCTAACAAACGGTAGGCATTCTCGGATTTTTCAACTGAATTACTGAAATTACAGAAAGATAAAAAAAAAGATGGGATACTCAAATTCATCTTGATTTTTCTTTTTCTTCTCGGTTTCCATTTGGTCATTTTCTCTTCATTTTTTCTAAGAAAATTCGTCTGTGCATACACACATAAAAAGCTAAGTGCCGAAACAATCTTGGAATGCGTCATAGACCTTTTCAACGACACCTTAAAATCAAATTATTTCGAAATTTGTATTCTTTTTAAAAAAAAAGGATGTCTAGAAATTATACAATTTTTTTTTAACAGACCGCATTTTTTTTTTTTTTTTGCCTCAACATCAAACTTTCCATTAACCAAATGAGAATAAACTCAATTACAACTCTGTTTTTCTTCCTCAATAAAAAAAAGTAAAACACAATCAGGCATGATAGAAAACAATTTGGATGCATGATTCAACAGTGAAAAAGCTTCCTTTACCATTCTATCAGCCACACGATTTCCATCTCTAGAATAAAAGCAAACCTTAAATGTATATGGGGAACTAAGGATCAGTTGTAGGTCCTGATGGTAGCTGCTAATGATCGGCCATGGTGTCTCATCTTTTAGGGCATCCACCAACGTCTTCGAGTCAGACTCAAAAAGAACATTCTTGTAGTTTAAATTTGAGATACAGACCATGGCCCAGCGCAGAGCTTCAGCTTCCGTATCAATCACTGATTTCAACAAAGATAATGACTTAGTTCCAGCCCATAAAGCTTTCCCGTTGCTATCTCTTAGAATCCAACCAATCCCGCTTCGGCGATGATTATCATCTCTTGCTCCATCAACATTACATTTCAACCAGCCATCTGGGGGAGGTCTCCAAGAGGATCGTGTCACCGAAGCAGAGAGAGGTTTCACACTAAGCTTAATCACCTCTTTTCTTTGAGCCCATTCCTCAGAATCTTCTTTTGCCTTATTTATAACCTGATGAGCCTCCCATGATATACCTTTATATATAAAGTCATTCCTCACCTTCCACAATCTCTATAGAAGCCAGGGTACATAACAATGTAAATTATTTTGATGGCTCTGAGTGTTCTTTACCGTTAAAGCTCGGTAGAGATTGGTGAAGAGAGTATTGTGCGTAGCTGCATCAGGTGGTTCAGGGATAAGAGAGATCGTCCAAACTAGTCTGGCAAAAAGACACTGGAATAGTAAGTGATTGACACTTTCATCTTGGGAGTGACATCGAGCACAAAATGGGTCTTTGAGAAGGTGCCTATGAGCTAGATTACCTGCAACAGGTAAACAATTTGAGAGACATCTCCACAGGAAGTGTTTTACCTTTGGACTTGTGTCCAAATTCCATATAAGTTGGTATAGAGGATCTAAGCTGGGCTGGTTGAGCTCTTGTAGATTCTGCTTTTTGAGGACGATATTGGCTGCCACCCAGTAACCAACTCAGACTTGACCGTGTAATGCCCATTTTTGGTTAAATCCCAGCAATAAGAGTCCATGGTGGAAGCACCTCCTAGCCTGTCTTCCTCAATCATTTAACAGACCGCATTTTGAAACACTAAAAGAATAGACTAGTTATTTTTTAAGAAGACCAAAAAAAAGCTTTAAAAAAAAACAAAAACAAAAAACAAAAAAAGAATTAGAGTAGTTTTGTTTAGGTTTCTCCAAGACTAAAGCATCTAACAAACGGTAGACATTCTCAGATTTTTCAACTGAATTACTGAAATTACAGAAAGATAAAAAAAAAGATGAGATACTCAAATTCATCTTAATTTTTCTTTTTCTTCTCGGTTTCCATTTGGTCATTTTCTCTTCATTTTTTTCTAAGAAAACGATTCTATCTCTAGCCATACATATTTTGGTAAAAGGTTCATTGATCTCACCTTTTTCGGCACAAAGTTATGACATAATCAATTTTAGAGAACAATAATAATTTCGACTTAAATAACTAATATAGAAGAAAGACATTCAGTCAAAACTTTGCCTTTCGCTGCTTTTTCTTTTTGTTCTCTCAGAAATTTCTAAAGTATTTTCATGGACAAGAAACATGAGCCAGAAAATTCATAATCAACAAAATTTGGGGATAGGACAAAAAGAGGGAGGCATTATAGACACAACAATCCCACAACAACGAAGGGGAGAAAAACAAATAAAACATCAAATCTGCGGGGAGTGTTGCACTGGATAAACTTGCAAGGCCTTCTGGTTTGAGTAAACTACTTCGGAGAGAGAATCAATAACATGTTTCTTTCGTAAGTTACAACTGCAGATTTGAAAAAAAAAACCATAGAATTAAAATCAACATCACCAGTACGGATATCTATCAAGCTTTTAATAAGATTGAATCTTGTGGATAGTGAGAACTGTGAACGAACCTTGTTGCCTCTCAAGTAGACATTGACAATAATATTTACATCTGGAGAGACCTACAGAGATACGAAACATTATTATATATCAAAGACATCGCTTGCTTCAATCGTTTAATGTAGAAAATTAAGTAAGAGAGACCTTTAGAGTTGCCAAACCTTTAGAGTTCACATTGGGCAGCTCGTACCAGAATTGACCTGAGAGAGATCTTTCTAAGGAACTATCTGTATATTGAATGCTATCTGAATACATGACTCCCGTTTTGTTGAAGCCGAAGATTTTCTATAAGGGACTGGTAGTATGACTTGAGGCTCCGAATATCATTACCCTGAATACCAAACAGGACAAGGAGAAACTATGTTTAAGTACAGGACAAGGGGACTGTTATCTATTGTCATGATTGTGTTGAAGGAGTAATAAACTTATCGAACCTGCAACTTTTGGCAATATTGCTCCGCCAAATCTTGTGGACAATGTGCTGATGGAAAAGTTTTCGACATAAGATGCATGAGAAATGCATTACCAAATTTTTCATACATCACTTTCTGAGCCGTGATGATTTCCCCGAACAAGACGTGCTGTGTTCATCAAATGAAGAAATCTAGTCAAGTTGCGGAAAACTGCAACTGGTAGATAAAACGCCTAAAAGAAAAAGAGAATTCAAGTTTCTTGTGCTTACAGTATTCGCATCATTGAAGTCGAAGGATTTTTCTAGTACACTGTACAAACAGCAGTTTGTTGCAAAAGTTTCGATCATGAAATTCTGAAACCCTGGAACCTGAAAGCAAATAATCCTTCATTATGACATTTGTGGTTCTTCCATGAAGAAAAGAAAGTGAATAAGACTATTTTAGCAGGCAGACCTTCTCCTCAGTATATGGCTTGGCACACCAATCTTTAATAAGCCTAATAAATATCTGCACGCATGCCTGTTTTATGGCAAACAATAAAGAAGAATTTATAAGTGAGCGAACAGAAAAAGATCATCAAACCTGTGTGAAATGTAACCAAAGGGGGTAGGTGTTACAAACCTTACGGACAGTTATATCCTTGTGATTACAACAAGTGTTTAAAAGCAAGTACATCATCGGATCTAGATACGGCATACTTTTAGGGGTAAGGAATACAGAGGAGAGATCGTGTGTTGCTATCACATGAAGAAATGTGTACAGCGTCCTTTGAAGCTCTATCAATTCCCTCATTTCCTACAGAAAAAAAAGTGTTTATAAATGTGGATATAAAGGACGCTCCGACATCACCAGGTTATAATTTACCATTGTAAGAAAATCATGCATGAAGATTAAAAATTGAGTTGAAAAAAAAATCAAACAAAATACCTCAGTAACAGCCCCAGGGCGTGAGGGGAACCCATCTCTTGGAATTACATTGAAAATCCTACCAGCAACCACGGGATATACTTCTTCCATTATATCACGGAGAGAACTGTTGAACTTGCAGATAAGCTGGTTGAGTAATACCAGGAAACCAACCATTTCCTTTGGCTGCAACAATACCATGCGAACACAATAAGATTAGTTTGTTGAAAAAGTTCTCAGATTAATATTTGCTCAACCCGGCATCATTACACAAAATGAAGTATCTTGATCAGTAGTTACGACTTAGCAAGTGAGCCAAAGGAGAGGAAACGAAAGCAGTGGAGCATTGAACAAACATAAGATGAGATTTGAAATTAGTACCTCACTGTCAGCAAGTAGTTGTTCCAAAGCCTTGGGAAGATACGGAAACACAGAGGATCCAAGGGTATCAACCATACGGTGTATGAATGATGTGACCTGCAGAGAAGTGGAAGATGTTAATCACCCAACTGTGAATCAATATATATTAATATAATAGAATATGTAACACTACGGGTCACAGTATGTCTACTTATTAGCATACAACTAAACTCATACCTTACTACGCAAAGGCTCAACCTTTGGAAACTCAATCAGAACCCTTAGAAGCACATCTAGTGTCTACATTCGGAGAAGGTTAACCAATTGTTAGAAAAGAAAGAGCAGCTTCAATTAGGACGGTGAATTATATACTGATCTACATGAATCATACGAGGGGGAGAAAAAAACATCATTCATACAAACCTGCTTAAACATGAGACCAATTCGAGGACGGCTCGCAGTAACAAGACGTTCACTAAAGCCCTGGATTTCAAACAAAAGTGTAAGGACAACCCCAGAAGAGGCAAACGTCGATGAACAAGTAACAAATCTCACATACAGAAAGACGTCTTTCTGGAAAAACTAGATTAAAGGAGCACAAACCTTGCTGAGAGCATTAATTGCCACAATAGCAAACTGGATATTAGCAATTTTTAAAGGAAACTCTTCGGCACTTGTGACTTTCGCCTCCACAAGTCCTTTCTCAATCTGGTACAATCATATGGAAAGAATCTGAGTACATTTGGCCATAAACAATGCCAAACAGTGTCATGCAAACAAGAGAATAGTAGGAATCAAAACCTGTTGACAGAGAGGGGTGAGCAGTAAAGACAGATAATCTGACTGCTTTTCAGCTGGGACATCCTCCAACCCTATGATTAAGCCAATGGCCTACAGTAAATCACATTGGGGAGATAGAGATTTCAGTTGAAGGTGCTAAAACAAGCTTGTAGTCCAACTCAGAAGTACATATATGAAAGCAATAGGTTCAAGGGGCACGTCATAACCTCAAAAATGTGACTGCCATCTTCAGTTCCTGAAAGTTCTCTTGATGCAAAGTTCATTGTCGTCAACTGGGACAACGTATCTTGGAGGTTCTGATTTAACCCAACAAAATAAAATTGGTTAGACAAAAAAAACTAATCAAATATATAAATCAGATTTACAGAAATGGGTATCGAAAAGAGAAAAAGCAATTCCTTACCTGCAGGATCTTGTCAATGAATGGAACAAGCTTTGATTTTAACAATTTCACGACTCTCATGAACAAGTAACAAGCTCTACGGCTCACATGAGCGTTCTGGTGATGTAAACCCCTTTCATCAAGGAAAGCCCCAAGAACATTGGGAATGTACTGGGAATTTTCCTGAATAAACTTCATGTACCTTGTTATGTTTTCTAAGTACACTAGTGCAACTAGTCTATGAGAATGACCAGGAAACTGTGTGGTCAAGAGCATCGGAATTAATTCACTCAGACATCCAGATCCCGTTTTCATGGCCTCCTCCGTCATAGACTCTCCAAATGAATACAAAAGTGAAAGTGCAGCTTCTACCTCTTCAACATTTCCCTCGGATGAGGATTCAACAGCATTTGCTAGAGAGTTTCGAATGAAATGCTGGGTAACTTCAGGAGCAACACGTCCCACTGTACGTAATAAGACAAAGAGATCTTTTCTAAACTCAGACATTCTATCTTCCTCTTCCAACCCAATTTTATCCAGAGAATTAAGGTTATTACGATACATAGGATCATAGCAAATCTGAATTCTAATCACTTCAAGAATCTGAGTAATGTGGATCAGTTGCTTCTCCTTCAGTGCAGGGAGGCCTTTGAGAGTTGAAACGTAACCCAAGAGAAACTGAACGATACTGAAAGTAGAATCCACCTCACAATTCCTCATGACATAAAAAACTGATGGCAGAACTTCGTTCAGCAAATCCATCGAGACTGCCTTGGTGTCCTCTGAGTTCAACCGCTTATGGCATTCTAGAACCTCAACAGCATAGCCAGTAAGCAAAGCAGATACTCTTGATACCAGTTCTGAATCGACATCTTCTGACACTAAACCAAAAACACGACTTATTTGAAGGGTCTGCAAAAGGGGCAGTTTTAACTGGGGATCCATCCGCTTAGAAACCATGGCTAAGACACACCCAGCTGCTGCACCTCGGACTTGGTCAGACAATCCGTCAGACAAAATCATTTCAAACAGTAGCGGAACAAATGCATCATTTGCAACCAAATTAATGTCAATCCAAGATACAAATCTTCTCATACAATCTAACACAGTAGCAGAAAGATCAGGATCGGAATTTCTGTACAATGATACAATATCATACCATGCTCTAGCAATCTGAGGGACACATTGCTGCCTCATTGCATCTTTGACTCGAGCAGCGACAGATATCTCTTCTGCTGTCCGGGGGTAATCCAAGCTAATCAGCTCATCATCCAAAGCATTCAAAACCCGACAAAACATATCGATCACAACCGCACCTTTGCTCAGGTGACGCATAAAATCAACAAACACCGACGACCAAATCAAAGGGTACTCAAAATAGATCAAAGTAACCAAAACCTGAGCAAGCTTGTTCTTAACAAATGGCGGTCCTTCCACAACCCTTACAGCATTCTCATTATCAACAACCTCCAAACACGCCATTGAGAACACTGATTTCCTCACATAACTCTGCTCATCCAAGCTCAAGGATCCATATTTGACCCTTAAAACATCCTGCAGAGTCTGCAAACACCAGAACTGAACTTGTACAAGCTTAGAGAACCAGAGCTTCTCGATACATATACTGCATATAGATGGAGTTTCTTTGATTTGCTGACAATAACTAACCGCCTGAGACTGTAACGCCGAATCGACAGCACCAGATTCAAAGCTAATTAGTATTGCCTTTTCAATGTCATCCATTGTTTAACCCCTTTGAAAACCCACTAACAAAAACCTAAACCCCAGATTCAAAATCCTGTCCGTTTATTGCATATAAGTCAACAATGCATCGAATTAGTATCAGAGTCCGAAGCTAGCTCCGCCTCGCCGTTCTCTTCCCGTATCAGCTTTTGATGCGGAGAAGGAAAAAAAAAGCGAATCTTTGAGTGGGTTTCGCTCGAGGGCTTACCAGAAAGTAAGGATCTTCGCGATTATGCTACAACAGGATCGATTTTTTTTGGGAATGAGAGCTATAATAGAAAAAAAGGACTGGAAACCCTAGGCTGAGCTTCTTCCTAGTCGAGACACAGGAAAAAAAATTTGATGAGCTTTTATAGAAGATTTTCCTTGAGGAAGAAATATATATGAAGAAATTTGTGACACTGGCAAAAAGACGGAGCATAGGGTTTTTATACAGATTTTATAGCGTGCAGAATTTTACTAAAAGCTGTGTAAATAAGGAAATTTTGGGAAATAAATATTTTATTGCTAGCATTTATGATTTCATATTAAGAATACCAATTTTAAGAAATCAGCCCATGGGCTATAAATTACCCAAATCGAAAAGGATAAGTGGAGATGTTGTAGACTACTTTTTGGATCAGTTTTTGGACTCATGGCTTTAGATGACCAAAATCAGAAAAAAATAAGATGATTTATGGAAGTTTAATGGATGAAGACATAGCAGGTTTGTGATGTTCGGCATTGTTTGTGACTCAAGATCTTTCCAAATGTTTATTGTTGTACATATTCCAGTTGTAGTTATTCGGTTCCAAGCCGGTAGGACGACACCCTTCTCAACCTTGGACACCTTAATTCACACAGTTGTTAGTAAATGGTTTTGTAACACACAATTTGTTTTGATCGATAGCATCACATCAATGAATTTGGTGTTGATATCAACTATAAATGAACAAAAAATATAGCATCCAAACATGATGCACATGGTCATTTCAAACTATTTGTAGTGAAAAATATAATGCAAATAGAAAAAAAAAATATTTTTTGTATATTTTAAGTTGTATTTTGGGAGAAAACACAATCAAACCTCAAAATCGAAGTTAATCAGCATTTTTAAAAAATATATACTGAAACATATTTTTTTGTTTTAAAAATGTCATTATGCGCTTTTATGTGATTTTTCAACTTAGTTTTGTTTTGAAAAATGTCGTTTTATTTGTGATTTTCCATACTTTAAAAATTTCTTAAATTGTTTGAAAATATATCATGTATGAAAATGAGAGTAGTATCATTTATCATTTTATCTATCTTTTAAATGCTTTGAAAATATGAATCTGGTTTTGGCAAAGAGGTTTACCTCGACGTTATACACATGAATATTTGTTTTTTGTTTTTTTTTGCATTTAAATTTTCTATATTAAAGAATCGTCATCGGAAAGTTTTCTTACACACATAAATTTTGTTTAGAAATAGAGATTCTTTTACGTTGTAATCAAAACTGTAAAAAAAATATAAAAAAATATCTGAGAGCTAACTTTTTTGTTTACACGATCTAAGACCAGTGTAAACTATAAGAGCACCTCCAATGGGAGGTTTAGGATGAGCTCTCGACAATAAATTAAAGAAAAAATATAAAAAGTAAGAGAGAGATTTATAGAAAGGGTTCTTCAAGTTCTCATTTAGTAACCTCATTTTAGAAAAGATCTACAGCTGTCAACTTATTATTAGTCTATATTTTTAACAGAAATAAAATTTAAATCAAAAATTTAAATTATATTAAAATAATAATATTTGAGTTTTAATAACTTCTTTCTGGTCTAACGTTAAAAAGAATTGAGAGAGGAAGGCACGATACCCTATAAAAGTCAGATGCAAGTGACCAGAAAAAGAAAGAATGTGTAAGAGTCAAGAGAGAGAAACTTCCTCTTTTCTTTCCTTTCTTTCATGGCCACGACAAAACTTCACCGCCACCTGTTTTGTCTTTAATATCTCTGCCGCATTTTCCTTTCTCCTTCTCATTTAAATCTACGTAACTCTAATATTTGTCCTTTCATGCGATTCCATTACATATGGTCTCTCAGAGAAAGCTAAACCAACGCTTTAAAACTAATCAGTCTTAGAAAAACATTATATAGTGTATATCAGACGTATGAGACTACGTACAAAACTACAAATCATATAAAACGCGAATTATTAAACCCTTTATAATATAGTGGTAGAGAGAGAGAGAGATGAACAAATGGTTAGGAGAATCTTTGACACCTCATTTGAGAATCCCCGACAGAGAAGAGGAGGAAGACGAAGAAGAGCATAGGCAAGACGGAATATGTGGATTCACCGATCAGCAGAAAGCCATCTTGCCTCTCCGTTCCGATGGTTCTCTCTTTTTCACCGATCCTTTGACACATCATCCTCCTGGTATACTCTCATCTATATATATGCAATCTATATATGTTGTTGGATTCCACTATATTTGATTTTCATTATTTGATTCCAACATATATCTATATAAAGCCTGGAGATATGATATTAACCATGATGATCATCATAATCATGGCCAAGAAGTGCCAAAGCTGGAAGATTTCTTTGCCAACTCTCATCATCAAACCGAGTGTCCCATAGACCAGAACCAAACTAATGTCAATTGCACCACCCTGGTTGACCGGTTGAACCCGCCCGGTTACCTTCTCCATGAACAAACCGTAGTTACACCACAATACCCGAACCTAAGCCTTGATTATGGAGCTTTTGAAAAAGACGGTTCGGTCTCGGTTTTCAAATCTTGGTTAAGGCAAGGCACTCCAACATTTCCACTCTCAAATATTTATGTTGCTGATGAAGAGGGTGGTACGAGCAACAATACTAGTCATTTTGGTAACGAAGAGACTCATGATTATAACAACAATGGCTCGATGCTATCGTTGGCTATGAGCCACGGCGTTGGTTCTGATATGATCAACAAATCAAATGTATCTGTACCGGTGGAAGAACCGGTTAAGGTAGATGATGAGAAAGGAAAGAGGTTGACCAGTAAATCTGTGGTGAAGGAATCGGTTCCTCGGAAGTCGGCTAATAGTGTCGGACAAAGAACGTCTCAGTATCGTGGAGTTACAAGGTACACACGTGATTAAATTTTCGAAGCCTCAAGTTTACTTGTAATAAAAATGCATGTAACTGTGTCGCCATATATTTGCATATATAGACATAGATGGACAGGGAGATATGAAGCTCACTTATGGGACAATAGCTGTAGGAAGGAAGGACAGACGAGGAAAGGAAGACAAGGTCAGGAAACATTAAAATGAATAAAAATTCCGATTCAATAAATTAAGTAACTATAATGTTGTTAGGTGTGAGAATAGAGAATATTTATTAACTGATGTTATTCTTTATTTTACTTTATCTACTTATAATTAGATGTAATTAAAAAGAATTATTAATCGAGAACTTTACTAACATTATTGTTTTTGTTTCCTATATATGTACGTTCATATTCGCTTAATCGCTTCCGTGGTATAACACGTACAGTGTATCTTGGTAAGTGAATGCTTTCTTTTAAATCACCCTATTATTCTCTATGCGATCCGTCGATAAATTCTTGTTGCCCTAGTTTTGGTCTAAACGCTATTAAGCTTCTTTTTTCTTGATTTGATGATATTGAGCTAATATTAATTTAAACTCTAATTAGTACATTAATTAAGACCCAATACTATTATAACAGGAGGGTATGAGGAGGAGGAGAAAGCGGCGAGGGCTTATGATTTAGCGGCCATGAAGTATTGGGGTCCCACCAGTCATTTAAATTTCCCTGTGAGTTTTTGATGTGGACCCTACATCCACTTCTACCTACTTTATATAGGCCCTAAACTATACATACATGCAATGCAACATTTTGTTTTCAAAATGCAATGCAACATAGTTTATAACAACATTATTATTTACTTCGATATTTTGGATCTTTGTGTATGTATTAATTTTTACGAACTCAATGCATATATTTTTATGGAATATTATACAGAGTTGACTAGTAATGGAAACTTTTTTTGACGTCTTAAATTTAGCCGAGTAACTACGAAAAGGAGATGGATGAACTCAAAAACATGACTAGACAAGAATTTGTTGCCATGTTGAGGAGGTAAAAACCAACCTCAATATTACTCTCTTCTAGATAGATATATTGTATTTATATTTGTTATTTATGGAGCGGTATACTTATTTAACCAACATTTTGTCGAATTTCTCATATGATAGGAACAGCAGTGGATTTTCGAGAGGCGCTTCGGTTTACAGAGGAGTCACAAGGTTTGACTCTGACATATTCTTGTAAAATTATATATATGTATTGTACATTACCATGATCGATCATGCATGTATAACTTATGAAGGCATCATCAACATGGAAGATGGCAAGCTAGAATTGGAAGAGTTGCTGGAAACAAGGACTTGTACCTTGGCACATTTAGTATGAACCATTTCTATATATTTATTTTTACAGCAAATAAAATTTATTGATTAATAAGTAAAGTTCGGGCTTAGTCTGCGAGAAAGTCAATCTAGAATCAAAATGAATCACTATATATGGTTAAATAACAGTAGATATATTACAAATACACAATGTTTTAATCAAATAACAAATATGTTTATTGTAAAAGGCACACAAGAAGAAGCAGCCGAAGCCTATGATATCGCGGCAATCAAATTCAAAGGTGTAAACGCTGTTACCAATTTCGACATAAGCAGATACGATGTGAAGAGATTATGCTCAAACTCTGCAATCATTTATAGTGACCAAGCTAAACGTCCTCCTACCAGCTCTGGGCTTGGCTAATGATCAATTCTCACTGTGACTTGTTGGCCAGAGGAAAGGACTATGAACCTATTCCAATGTTGGTTTTTCAATCAATTACTAAAATAATATAAACAAAATTGTAGATTTTTTTTTGGTTTCAAATCATTTGTGGTTTAATAAATAATTAGAAAGTTGATAAAATAGACAAAGAAAACATATTCAACAAATCAGGTTATCAAAACAGTTAAAAAGTTGATAATCTCATGTACAAAAGTAGTACTAAATCAATTATGAATTTAGAGTTATATTAACCTGAAATAGAAAAATCCTCCAAGCAAAATTCACCTTTATATAACTGTGTGAAAATGCAATCTATTGACTTTCTTGACATTTTTCTGTAGAGAAGATAAATTTGAACATTTTCTGAGTAAATAAAA